CCGCCGCCTTGGACTCCGGCCGGAGCCACGCGGCATCCTCGAGAGTGCCGCTCTCCGTATCCTCCAGGACTACCCCGTTCGCGATAGCGCTCGCGTCAGTCCACACCACGAGCTCCCGGCCGACCATTCGCCACGGGCCACACGAGTAGGGTCAGCTGCCCTCACCCGCGTTGCGACTTCCTGAATATACGCGCGTAACGCATCATCCGACACTGGGTCATCCCACCCGATCGTCAGGCCGTTCATTCGCCGCTTTAACCAGGCAGCTGCTGGCCGCAACCATCCCGCCACGGGAGGTGCGTCACCAACTTACCGCACCAGGCACCAGACCAGACCGCACCAGAGTACCCGCAGCCTTCATTGAAGCGTTCAGACACTTACAGTTCATGACAGTGTACCTGGCGGACTTGCCAGAATGCAGAACTCACGCACCAACCCACAAATGCCTGCTCTGGAAGACCGCTGGAACGGCTGGAATGGTGCTGCTCTGGAATCTGGCGACATTCGGCAATGTTACCAGACGCATCGATGAATCTGTGATGATATACGGATTCTACAATAGTGACCAGAGTATTGCATAAAATGTTCATCTTCATAGCCACAAAACTCAGAGCTACATGCCCATACAGTTTTCATTACCTAGAAGGCTTCGGCTGAGATCAAACCCTCCTATGCTCGAGGTTCGTTTTAAGAAAGGTGACCATGTAATGCGCGTTAGCTTTCGAAACCGATATACGCGCCAACAAGGTGCAGATGGCATCGGTTTTGATAGGCGAGGGTTGCAGAGGCTGGCCAGCAGCCGCTAAAAATACTCCAACCCTGGTTGATTCAGGGTTTGCACACGAGAGTACGTGATCGTCTTCACATATGAGTCACACTCTTGTCTGTGCCATTTTCCGTTTTCTTTGTTGCTATAGCTTTCGAGACCTGCACCCGGTTTCCAGCAGCCTTCAGTGTTTTCGCGATTTGACGATGCTGCTCCGCTCATGCTAATCCATGGTGAAGTCAAAATCAAAGCAACATTGTAATTTTGCGCGAAAACCTTGTCCGCTCAGCCACTCGCTTGCAAATGTCTGACAGCCTAACAGTCTAGCTTATACAGAACTGAGCTTCACGCCGCTGAAACTACTGAGCTGAGCATGCGGCGAGTGGAAGCAATAACTCCTCTGCACCGAGAAACAACTTCGTCATCTATTGTCTCGCAAGGGGCCCCAATATATTCAAGCGCATCGTTATTGGACTATTGTTCCCGGCAAGGTGGCCACGGGCAATGCGATGGTGGAAGGACAGCCCGTGACTTGTCGCATTACCTCCAGCCCCCTTCCCCTCTCCTCCGGCACTGTTTTTCCATCAGGTTCCGTACCCGCACGGTGTCGCCCAAAGGCAGGTGGCCGCCCCAGCGGTCGCGTACGGGCCCGACCCCCTCTGGCGCGAAGCAGCCCAGTATGGCGATCCGCCCGCCCGAGGCTCGAGCGGTGGCCCGACCCCTCTGGCAGCGAAGCGGCCCAGTATGGCGATCCGCCCGCCCCGGGGCTCCGAGGCGGTGGCCCGACCCCCTCTGGCGCGAAGCAGCCCAGCATGGCGATCCGCCCGCCCGGGGCTCCGAGGCGGTGGCCCGACCCTCTGGCGGCGAAGCAGCCCAGCATGAGATCCGCCCCCCCGGGGCTCCGAGGCGGTGGCCCGACCCCCCCCCCCCCCTCTGGCGGCGAAGCGGCCCAGTATGGCGATCCGCCCGCCCGGGCTCCGAGGCGGTGACTGTCCGCCCTCTGCCGTCTCACCGAGCCTGACAGCCGCTCCGTTCGGGCCACCCGTGTATTCGCAAACTCCGCACATTCACACGGCGTTAACAACCTCGCTTTGTTCGCGTTCCACCCGCAGGTCGCACATGGATTTCGGGCGGAGGACGTCCACACAGAGGGCGCCACAGTCACTGACACACGCTGGATCCGAGACAACACAAACACACACGCGCTTCACACCAGTCGGCACGGCCTCCGACGGTGCTGCCACCTGTGGGCGACCGCGGCACCGCCCAGCGTGTGGCAAAGTTCGCAGCCGTCAGCTGATGTTGCCAAGCCGCGGTCCGCCGCCATCACGCCTCACGCGCCGCCAGGTCACGCCATCTCTCACGCCCGAACCTCACACCTCACGCCTCGCCCTCACGCCTCACGTCTCGCACCTCACGCGCACGCTCCGCACCGACCCAACGCCGGCGCGCAGACAATAACTTAGTTAGAATGGTACATGAGCAGGCCGCGGCGCGCCTGGCTGGCGTGCTGCCACGCGCCTCGAGTTCGCTGAGTGTCGTCATCCCCGACAGGAATGCACAATCGCTGGCGCCGCGGTTGCGCGCACGGGGTCACGAGGTCAGGCGACCGCGGTCGGGAGCCCGCCTGAGCCGGCGGCGGCGCTGGCTGGCTGGCGCGGCGACACAGCGCCGCCGCAGAGTCGAGTATACGATGGCGGGCCGGGACGGCACACCCTCATCTCCACAAGGTGGGTCACATTCCAGGGCCGGTTTGGCCGATTCAGGCCAGTTTGGGCCAGTTCGGGCCGGCGCTTTGTCGGCGCGTGGGACCTCCTCTATACACACCGGCAGGGTGTAACAAAATGCCCCTCGGCAGAGCCCCGGTCGCCGCGGGGTTTTCGGCCGCAAAGCTCCGGTTTCGCGTCCGCCTGGTGTCGGGGTACCATTCGCTAAAGTTTGTTTAAACTACCGCTAGATGTCTCTAACGAGCTGGTCGTCGCTATCGTCGGTTGTGTCGTTCTTATCTGAAACAGAAAAAGCTCGCTGTGAGAAACAGCCCATAACAAATCGAGGGCTCGTTCAAAAACCATTTCACAACGACAAAGGGATGATGCACGCCGACTCACACCACCTGCACGCGGAGCGTCCGATTTTCACCTGACCCACTCAGCGGGTGGAGGCACCCCCGCCGGTCTCTGCGAGCGCTGCAAACGGTTTCACCTTACCCTTTTTTGGCCGGTGTAGGCGGCTTGCGCAGGCGGTCGTAGAGCTCGTCTTGTCGGGCGCGCGCCGTAGATTGCTGGCGTTGGAGCGGGCCAGGCTGTTGGCCTTGGCCGGATGGAGACCGTCTTGCGAGCGGGAGGAGCGGGCCGGTCACACACCAGGTCACCACCAGCAGGTCAGAGCGTGTTCGGGGATGGCCGAGGCGCCATCTGATCACGGCCCACTGCACTTCTTAAATGCAGCCGTCAGGCTGACTGCAGACCCATCCGCCCAGCTACATAAGCCAGCTGTCAGCTGACTGCAGACCCATCCGCCCAGCTACATAAACCAGCTGTCAGCTGACCGCAGACCCATCCGCCCAGCTAATAAACCAGCTGTCAGCTGACTGCAGACCCATCCGCCCAGCTACATAAGCCAGCTGTCAGCTGACTGCAGGCCCATCCGCCCAGCTACATGAACCAGCTGTCAGCTGACTGCAGACCCATCTGCCCAGCTACATAAACAGCTTCAGCTGACTGCAGGCCCATCCGCCCAGCTACATAAACCAGCTGTCAGCTGACTGCAGACCCATCCGCCCAGCTACATAAGCCAGCTGTCAGCTGACTGCAGGCCCAATCCGCCCAGCTACATAAACCAGCTGTCAGCTGACTGGCAGACCCATCCGCCCAGCTACAATAAACCAGCTGTCAGCTGACTGCAGACCCATCCGCCCAGCTACATA